CATTAGAACTGGTACACCGTTGTCGCTTGCAAAATCAAAATGACGGCACCGTGGGTGTAAACTTACAGATTATGGGGTGGTAATATTATAATGAGATCCCTTTGCCACGTCACCAAGGGAGCAAAATCAGACTCGCTCGTTTTCTCAGACGCTTGCAGAAGAAGGCTTACCAAAACAAAGTTACTGGGTTAATCTTTTTCACGTTTCCTTGGTTGGTAGATGCACCGGGGACCTGATTATAGCACTTAAAACCTGGAAAAGTCAGATTTTCATGATATGTCACCTTTAAATATTATATTACTACTAGCCTACTACTAAATAATTAATTTTACATTAGGTTATTTTTGTGAGTGAAATATCTATAAAATAATTTTTATACCAGTCTGGCAGAGATCTTGAAACAAAAATTATAATATTACATGCTTGTCATAAACGTTTATTCATCTTGCAGATGTTTTCACACATTCTGATAAACATGTACAATGTTTTCATTTCAATTACAGAGATGGATTGCATATTCGAATATTATCAGATGGAAACTAGCGCATGATCAATTCTTGTCCAGAATAAACCTTATTTTTTCATAAAGCCTGTTTTTATTTCCATAGGCTGTTTTTCACAATCACATTTGTTATGGTCTGACACTGACATGTTGTTATAGCCTTTGGCATTGTGGTAATCCTGTAAAATTCCACTATTTTTGAAGCAATAAACTCAGAAAACATATTTTCTCCCAGCTTTAGAATCAGAAGCAGACTGACAGTGGGTGATATGCAATATAAACATGGGATGTGAATCAGGCTTCTCATCCTCTTGGTCCACATAATCAAATAAGCCAATGTAATCCATTTACTGAGGTAATAGCACTGATTCATTTACAAACAGCAGCATAAATCTACATTAATGCTGTATAATTTGCATACTTCTGTAAGACTCTGAAAGTGGCTTTTACTGTTACATTATTTTAATGGATTAATAAATGAATGAAAGAAAGAATTAATGAATGTGTGATCAAATTAACTCAGTAATAACAAAAACTATAAAATATATCTTTTATATACAGACATAAATAATATATTTCTCTCTCTCTCTCTCTCTCTCTCTCTCTATATATATATATATATAATCTTATTTATATTTATATATTTTATACTAATGTTTTAAATATATTTTATACTAATTTTAGAAAAATTCCATTGAATGGTAATATTTGGCTAGTGCGTTTAGTGTGTCATGATATTAGATTCCATTTTCACAGTCTTGCAATCATTTTTGGCACATATTAGTTATAATGCTGTGAGTGATTAGTAAGAAATTCAACAGTGAGTGATGGCATGAATAAATCCTATTGTAAATACTCAGGTCCAGTGTCTATAGTGAGTCTCAAGTCTTTTGTTTTTGTTCCCTTATACAGGTGTGGGGCTTCCAGCACCATCCTGTGACTCCAACACGATGACGTTGGGGTCACTCACTGTCACCGCACCATACGTAGAATCAAACGGCACGTCTTCTTCCTTCATTTTCTTGTAGGATATGTTTGTATCATCCTCGTCATCCTCCATGAGGTCCTGTTTATGTAATACCTCTTTCCTGTACATGCGGTAAGCCAGAATGAAGACGCCAGCCTCTGCTGCCTGGAAGAGCGCGTACAGCAGAGGAAACATATACATGCCTCCCATCAGCTGCGGAGGGAACGCCAGCTTCAGGATGGCCGTGCAGAGCTGCACGTTCTGACAGCCCGTCTCTAAAGACACAGTCCTCCGACTGTTGGGGGGGAGATCGAAGAGCGTCGCCAGGCCGTATCCTGCCGCATAGCCGGCCATGGGCATGAGTACGGCCACCAGGTAGACGGAGGCAGGGATGGTGGCCAGCAGCTCCGGACCCAGCATAGTTCCAGTCATGATGAAGAGCATCAGCAGAGTGACCAGGAGAGACCACAGAGACACCTGGAGCAGAAACACAGGTAAGTCTTCTAAACAGCCATTATACTGTCATTCAGATCTTACTGAAGTTTCTCAGCAGATTTTATTTAGGCTATTCTTCGTTTAGTTCATTTTTTATTGATTTAGCACAGAATCTGCAACATTTTTCTCATATATTTCCCATGTATTTTCACAATATTAGTTTATGGGTCTAATAGACTTATAATCACAATATTTATATTTTATTTTATGAGTCTAACCGACATATTCTCACAATATTTGTATTTTATTTTATTTCTCCCAGTATTTTATTTTTATTTTATTTTATGGGTGTAATGTACAAATTCTCCCAGTATTTTATGTTATGTCTAATGGGCATATTCTCAGAATATTTCAGATTTATTTTATGAATCGAATGAACATATTCTTACAATATTATTTTTTAATTAACATATTTTCAGAATGTTATTTTTTATTTTATTGGTCTAATGGATATATTCTTACAATATTTATATTTTATATCCCAGGTTTTATGAAAGTATTTTCATTATATATATAATAATATTATGTTTTATAGGTAAAATGAACATAATCTAACAAAATTATTTTTCTGGGTCTAATGGACATATTCTCAAAATAGTTTTCTTTTTTTTCAGCATCTAATGGATATTCTCACAATATTTTTACTTTATATTCTGAATCTAATTAAATATTCTCACAATATTTTTATTTTATTTTATGGGTCTAATGAAAATATTCTTACAATATTTTTACTTCATATTCTGGTTTTAATGGACATTCTCACAATATTTCTATTTTATTTTTATTTAACACATGTTCTCAAAATATTGCTCTTTCTGGATCTAATGGACATATTCTGATCATACTGATATTTTATATTCTGGGTCTGATAAAAATATTCTCACTATACTTTTATTTTATTTTATTTATTCTGGGTATAGGGGAAATATTATCAGAATATTTAATTTAATTTTATTTTATTTTATGGGTCTAATGGAAATATTCTCACAATATTATAATTTTATTTTCTCGGTCTAATGGACATATACTCACAGTAATTTTTGTATTTTATGAGTCTAATGGACGCATTCTTTCTAACAGAGACATTTTCTGAATATTTTAAACATTAAATCCAACTACCTGATGATGTAATTGCTAGACATCTCTCTGTGGTCGAGAAAACTAAGAAAATGAAATTGTTTACAGGCCTCAGCGGGCAGCAATTAGCTATAAAGGGTTTTCATTAATACAGCGACTGGTAACAACTGATGTGACATATTTCGCTAAGCATGACCTGGGGAATGAATCCTGAAAGGAGTGAATGGCACAGAGAGGCACATGATGATACTACTAGAGGAGAAAAGTGCAAGCCATGAGTGACAAATCAGCCCACTTTTATCAACTCCACTTAATGTGCTGCTCCCCCAACTGCCTCTATTCCTTTATCACACTCTCTGTCAGCCCTCCCCTCACCTCCCATCCCGCATCTCTCTATCTCATAGTCGCCGCTGTGCCCTTACCAGGCTGTTCTTAGATAAGCTCAACTGAAAGGAACCCATGTGCGCATGTGACGCCACCTCGCCCCAGGCACTTCAGTCTCCTTTTAATGGCCAGAGATGGTGGACATGAAGGCGACCTAAGCAACCCATCACAACCAGTGATATTTCAGAAATGACAGCAGAAATCTAAATCATGTTATTTTGTGATGAAGATCCACTTAGTGGCTCCTCCAAATCAAATCAACTTAGTCTGATATTTCAGGTTCCTTTTCCTAATAGTAAATGTGCTCAGCTTTGGCACTGCTTTGAATGACTTTTAGACAACTGATCAGGTTTTTTGCATTAAGTCACCTTGATGATGATTTCTGCCACTCGAGTATAGCGGTATCTAAGCCAGACCCCGAGCCCGATGGGAATGAGGGTGCTGCAGAGGGTGAGAATGATCGCGCCGAAGGGCAGAAGGTTCACCACAGGTGTGTTGATCCACGCGCGACTGTACATCCACAGACACAGCGGCATGAGCACGAGCGCCAGAATAGTGGACGAGATGGTCATGATGATGCTGGAAAACAAACCCCACCAAAAGAAATGTATTACCAAAGACAGCCAAATAAAGCAACATGTTCTTCTGACCTTTATTTTATTTCTGTGCTTTATGCACTTAGTATAATACATAATACTTAAAAAATAAAAACACAATGCGTGCAAAAAAATCTGTGCAAAAATACTTGCCAAAAATCCACTGAACAATGCACTGAACTAGAGCATCATCTTTTCTCTATGGCAAAATAACATTCTCACAATACATTTTTTATTTTCTGATATATTTTAAATTATACATGTTTTAATATTTGTTTATTATATTGATTATATTTTTATTTGTTTATATTTTATATTAAATTATATTTTTATATATTATATTTTTAGATTAAAAATATAAATATTAAAATAAAAAATATATATAAATATAAAATTTTAAAATGCATATATTCAAATAATTTTATATTATAGCTACACTGTAAAATCTAATTAGTTGGGCTTACTTAAAAAAAGCATGCAAACCGATTGCCTTGAAAAAACTAAGTAAAGTGTAAGAGGAATAGTATGTTGTACTGACAAATGCTTAGTTAGTATAGTTTACTTACACGTGAGTTCTAGTAACTAAAAAAGTACTGTTACACTATTTAAGGATTATATAAACTCAATTAAGATCATATCAAAGTAATTATGAATAATGAAATTTGAAGAAATTCATTAATAATCACACAAACAATAAATTCACTAATGATTTAATTAAAAGATAGATCACTTTCTAAAAGCAATCTATTTATTACTTTTTTTTCCCTTGAAATCAAATAACTCTGATTTCATAATGCATTGCTGCA